CTTCGTCCGTGAAGTTGCAACGCTTCTCTTTGGGTGGCATAGCTTAACAGGACAGGTGGGCGATTTAGATGTGGGGAAATCATTCTGCAGGCTGTAGTTTCTGCAGAGCGCTATCCTCAGATGGGCAGAACGTGCAGCGGTTTTGTTTAAGACGATGTGTAAGAGTAAATACTGCTGATGGCGAAAGGTCTATAATACCTCAGTTTAAGAAACACGCACACACTAAATATACCTTTTCTCTCGTTGCACTACAGTACTTAAGTACCAGTAAGCACGATTCAGTAAGCATATTGAACTCAATTCATTGCTACGGATTATGATAGAAAGAACAGGACGCGTCCGCTTAAAATGCTGCGCACACGGCTGATCTGGGGTACCATATCCTATGTGATGACATCACGCGCACACGGGTAGTAGAATTTACTCGGTTGATGAACTAATATGCGGCATTAAAGCACACCGTTTTTGCACTGATGTGATATCGTACTGGACTTGTTGTGGTACCACGACTTGCTGCGTTCGGGTAACAGTGTCTGGCGCTCGTTGCCCTCTAGCCTCCGCGGACACCAACGGAGATTGTGGTGCCACCAAGCTAGAGTGGGATCGTCTGCACTAACGTGACACCACTTGCGATAGCTGCACCGCCGCAGAAGCGAGACACAAACACGTCCAGGTTTCGCGCCGAATCAGCATTCCTGACACCAAAGCGACGTTTATCCTCTCCATGTCGTGAAGCCAGCAGCCGACACATTGTCCTGCACGGCCTCGCCGCGCCTGGACGTCCGTCGCCACTGAGGTAAAACCACGCTCCCTGGCCCGTTGCCATCCCCACTGGGTCTCGGACGACGAGGTAGAGCTTTCGTCACGGAAGTAGCTACCCTCTTGATAGTATAGGGAGAAGAACTCACGAGCTTTGTCTTTCATGTCGCTTGTGTCTCTTTCGCTTTCTTCATCTTCATCGTCGTTGTCATAGCCTTTGGCGCGGAAGTACCTCTCCCTCTTCGGTCTGCGGTAGCGGTCTCCCTGCAAGTGGTTTTAGTGGTCAGAGTGCTCGGAACAGTTGCTCTCCGCTCCTCTGCATCGACCTTTCTTACTATTGTGCTGGCACTGCTAGGGACCAATCGTGTCAAGCTCCTCTTGTTGTGGTCTCTGCGGTATGACTGGTACTCCCAGAACATAGAGTGTAAGAAGTATTTGTATGCTGGGACGGCTACTGCGCCCATATTAGATTATTATCTTGTCTGCTGCGGTGCCAGCGTACTTACCAGGAGCTAGATTAAATCTTCAAATTTCGTAGAATGAGATTTAAGTGACTAATCATCGTATATGTATTTGCATGTGCTTTTTATTTTTTGTAGTGTAGTCCCCTTATCAATCTGTGTACGCTAATTGCCGTGAGGATGATACCATACTTGTATGTGTACACAAATATATCCGAATAAGGTCATGCTTTTAAATATGTTACGTTTGAACATTTGATTATATGTGACCATTTATTTCCAGACAGTTAAAAGTATCTCTCTACTGTTTTCGAATTATGAACTCTACAGTCAATACGGGGTGAATATCAGCTTACGAGAGTGAATATAAACGTTTTTATCTCAGATAATTGCGTATACTCCATCGCAGAGACGATGCATTTTTATCTTGCTTTGAAAAACTTGCAACTTTTACTGGAAAAGTAATGAAATTAGTAATATGTGGCTGCTCTGACAGGTACTAATCAGCTCTGTACAGCTCATATATTTTTTAAGATATTACTGTTAATGAAAATTGATCCTGAATTACATGCACACTTTTTATGTTTATGACACTCCAGTTTTAACATCAGATGTTAAGAAAAACACCTGCTCCACCGTCTTTTTTTTGAGACGCCAATCGATTGTACATGTATTTGGCAGCTGAGAAAAAACTTTGACGTTTGTTTCCTACATGTTGGAGAATTTGTTTTCTCTCATTTCTTCAACTAGGGCAGCAAGCTTAGAGCTCAGTTCCCAATTTGCGTCTCAGAAAAAGAGACATGCTTACAAACGAACGTGCCCGGGTTACGTCTGGAATGACGATTGCGTTATCAACTTGTCGTAAAAGACTTGCTTTTAGTAAGAATCCACTTAAATTCGATAAGAGCATCTCCAGCGGCAGGTCTTAAAGGCGGGTTTATCCTAAAAGTAGCACGGTTAGACCTCGGACGAGTTTTAAAGCATCCAGCGGTGAGTCTTAACACAGGTCTTAACTTCACGAGGTCCTATCGGATGAGACTCCGGGCTTAAAATAAGACTCGAGTTTTATCGCTGCAGACGCGAATCGTCGCTGGGAAGATCACAGAGCTATGGAGAAGGGTTCCGTGTGGAGCGAGCACGAGACTGTGCAGCTCTGTCTTGCATGGCTTGCGACTTCAGAAGACCCAATCCGTGGTGCAGGTCAGAAGAAGGCATCATTCTTTGAGCGTGTTTACCAGCAGTGGTGCAAGAACGTCGGTCCTGACGCCGATCTTCGCTCGACAACAGCCATAGCAGGCCGGTGGAAGAAGCTTCTTCCTGAAGTGACAAAGTTCGAGGGAATTTTTACTAAGCTAAAGAGCCAACCACGGTCGGGTTGGAGTGAGCCGATGTACGTCGAGAACACGGCGAAGATATACGAAGAGCGCACGAAACATCCGTTTGAGTATCTGGCGGCGTGGAAGGAGCTGCGTGATAAGCCGAAGTGGACCGGGAAATTGACTACTTCTATTCATGCTGGCAACAAACGCAAGTCGGGTGACGGTGATTTGGTTGCGCGTCCAGAGGGACAGAAAGCGGCCAAGAAGAAGAAGGCTCGGGATGACACCAACTTACCCGTCGATGCCCACATGCGCTTTGTCGCCGCGTCCGAAAAGAAAGCAGATATATTAGAGCAGCAACTTCACTTCAGCCTATTCATGCAATCACCTGACAGCGAGGAGTCAAAAGAGTACTTTGCTCTCCGCCGCAAAACTATTCTTGCGCAGCTACGAGCTGCAGATCGTGAAGCTGCTGGGTGTCATAACACCAGGTTGGCCGAGCATGAAGAGAATCGAAGTGGCTCTCGCGGAACCAGCGAGGTTTTCATTGCGCAAGGATCGATCGATCAGCTGTTGGGAAGCCCACAGAGCTCATCCGACAAAGAGATTAGCCCGAGCACAGAAGCCAGTTTTCCAGCATCGGCGATGTTGTAGCTGCGTCAGCGTCTACGACGACCTACTTTCTCACAATTTCCAAACATTTGCCATATGTTTTCTACCAGGTCGTTCTTTAAAGCATAATGCAAGTTTTCATCTTCCACGGCAAGCAGCTCTTGTATAATTTTTGTGACTGGGCATGTTTCATGTTGTGTTGGTGGTGCCGGCTTACCCAACCATCCTTGTACAAATACTTGTTGTTCAAGGTGCTGTCGCCAGTTTCATCTTTCGATGATCATGTTATGGAGAATGATCAGGGTCATCACAACGGATCCCATCGCATTCACACTCCAAAGTTTGCAGGGTACAGCTAGAATTCGAAAGCGCTGCTGCAGCACGCCAAAAGCGCGTGCGATATCTTTTCTAACCGCTTCGTGAACTGTTTTGTATTTCGAATACCTCTGGTTGATTGGCTCAGCGATACTTTGCTGGAAAATTGCCCAAGCTGGGTAAATACCATCCGTCAAGTAGTACGCTCGATCATACACTACACCATTAACACTGAACGCTACAGTCGGGGCTTCACTGTTTACCAAGTCGTCTAACAGTGGTGAGCGCTCCAGAACATTTAAGTCGTTATTAGAGCCTGGCGTCCCGAAAAATGCGTGCCATATCCAGAGAGATTGCGACGCCACAGCCTCTAGGATTACCGTTTTGGCCCTCTCCTTTCCCTTGAAAGCTCCTGCCCACGCTACGGGACAGTTCTTCCACGCCCAATGCATGCAATCTAGGCTTCCAATCATCCCAGGGCACCCACGAGCAGCATTTTCTGCTAAAAGTATCTTAACGTCAAATGGAGTCGGCTTTCGAAGGTATTCAGGCCCAAAAATACGCATCACAGCGCTGCAAAACTTTTCCATTGTCTCGAGTACCGTAGATTCGCCAATGCGTATCAGTTCATCAAGTTGATCCGCACATGCACCGTAAGCGAGCATACGTAGGGCACAAGTTACCTTTTGCTCTGGTAGAAAGCCTAGAAGACCAGTAGCATCGGGTCTCTGTGTAAAATAGTTGCTTTCAGTGTCCTCCACAAGAGCGGAAACAACTCACTCAAAAACCTCACGACGCATTCGAAACCTCCGTCGAAAGTCTCCTACGTCAGTACAGCACATCAGCACATTCTCATGTGTACGCAATAGCATTAAAAATATGATCTCGTACGGGCATCATAGGTTGGATTGTCCCCGAAGTAGTCTGACATAAGCTCTTCCCCCCCACTTTGATCGTTTTCGCTCCTTGTCGGCACGCTTTCCCGGCTTTGAACCTACGTGCTTGCGCTTAGTCTTTGTTTGCGCCTCTGGCAGGATAAACAACCGAAAGTACTCGTCATCCGAGTCGTCTGCGTTCTCCATAGCCCCCAACATCCACGGTGGGAGCGACATCGACCTGGAAGAAGATTCAGGGGGTAATTACGACTGCTGATTAAGACTTCCTGCTGGCAAAACGGAGAGACTCGTGGGTCTTATTTTAAAACTCAGGTCATAACACTCCCGAAGCGTCGCCGTTAAGCCTTAGGATAAGACTTGCCGCTGGAGATGCTCTAAACGGTAACTTATGGTCTGTAGAATTAAGACTCGTCATTTGGGAAGTACCGTTTAAAAAAACTGGAAATTTGAAATCGAGTAACTCATTGAAAAGGACCGAAACGGCAAATTTCACAATAAGAGATGTGCTGATTGTTTCCTTGAAAACGATCAACACATCTTTCACCTGACTTCTTTGTAACTATGAATGATTTGCGCTTATTTTTTTTAATTGTAGGCCACTAAAAACTTTTAAAAATATACTACATGTACGTAGTTTAATGTCCAAACGGCAGCAAATCCAGAGATTATCGAACCGGGCGTTTGGCGTGCCCATGCCAAACCGCAATCTTCCGGCTACCAAACACCACCACATCACACTGAAATACAGCATGATGCAGGTGCTGACCATACTTGCTGTTGCCGCCCTCGCTAGCATCAGAGCTGCGTCGATCGATCATGACAAGGTTCAGCCATTCGCACAGCCCCAACCGATCACCGACGTCGAGAAGGCTGCCGTCAAGTTCAAGCCTTCACTTGCAGTGATGTCTGGATGTCACCCGTACCCTGCCGTGAATGCTGCTGGCGAAACTAGTGCCGGCTTGAAAGGAACAGGGGAGCCTGACGGTGGCTGTGAAGGTTCCGAGTTGGGGTCGCAGGTGTATAGCCGATCAACGTGGTACGAGGGCAGGTGGGCCATCATGTACGCATGGTATTTCCCTAAAGACATACAGAATGGTGGCCTCGCCAAGAAGGGTATTCGGCACGATTGGGTGAATGTAGTTGTGTGGCTTAACAATCCAGCTGTAGCTGCACCGACGATACTAGCAACCTCGGCGTCGACGTATGGCACTCGGTACGTGATCAGTAAGCCACCCAAGAGCTCAGACATCATCGATGGCATCACGGCTAAGCTGCGGTACGATGAGGAAGGTGGGGAAGAATGGCACACCATATTTCAATTCTATGGGGAAGGAGAGTTCCAGGATCTGATCCAGTGGGACCAACTGACCGACGCGGCTCGCGAGGCCTTGCAAAACACTGACTTTGGCGATTATGTAAACGTGCCTTTCAATGACGCGTACTTTGAAACCAACCTCAAGGCTGCATCGACGAGTCACGTGTACAGAAGCCGTCGATATGGCTTTACATCAAGCCACTCGATTTGGGAATATTGACGCTTTTGTTAGCTTGAACCACCAAATCAACACCCTTATTGTTTTTTTATCAGAATTTTCTTCGCTGCCACAATCTAAATTTAATTACACTTACTATAACCCGCAAAAGATCATCCGGGTACAGAAATCTGCCTGAATAAGGAACGGGGTTTCAACTAATAACCTCGCATTTTTTATAGTCGGGAAAGATTTAGGGAGATGGGATAGTGATGGGCAAGGTACTGACAAAACAAACAATCCAGGCACTGACTTTGATTTCAATTTAAAAAAATGGTGCGCAGTAGCTGATCCTCCTTCGCTTCAAGCCCTACGAGCCAAGCTTCATTCCTACATTTACATACAAGCTCACTAGCTGACTGCGTCCTCAGCACCCCAATGTCCTCCAATCGTCTCCGTCTCACCTGGTCCGAGAAGGTAGAGGATGCTCGCTCACCTAGTCTGTCACGGCCCCTGGCAAAACGACAATATGCTATATACTCAAATCAAGTGTTGTGCTGTGCGGACGGCCTGTGGAAAAGGCTGTACGCAAGAAGGCGCAGAGGTTGGTCTCTCTCTAAGCAACGTCCGTGTTGAGGGGATCATCAATAGCATTTAAACGCTACATCTTATCGCAAAAATGATGTTCGCATTGGATCGCCTACGCGAAGGCCTCGACAGCCCGTACAGCGTCGACCAGCCAGCTGCACTGCTGTGGTGCGAGGCTGTATGGTCTTAAGTTAGCGCTTCCACGATTCAGCACTGCCGATCTCTTTCAAAATCCGAATCTTCAATTTATCTTAACTCAATTCAATACATGCACATCATAGTCTGTTTTTAGCGAGGCATTGTCAATTTATGCAATCTCTTTCTTAATTTATATCAGGCGTTCCTTATTCAGGCAGATTTCTGTATTACTGAAGTGCTTGCGTTTACTGACATGCCACGAGATTGTTTCGGGCAGGGCTGCCTCAAGTTTCGGTAAGGAATTTTGACGGTACAGATGAACCCTTTGGTCGTAATCCCTGCTCTTGGAATACCCTCCGACAGGAATAAAAAATGACTCTTTTAAATTTTAAGAATACCCTTAGCAAGAAATAAATTGCTGGTTCCCAGTGCTATGACTACGGAAGGGTTCATCTGAAGCAAAAATTCGAGATAGCTATATTTTTGTCGACGTCGATTGGTTGGCGCTTTTCTGCCAATCGCATAAGCCCTCGGCTCTTTACCGCCGACTTCTCCCGTCCAAACTCATTTCCGCCCTTAGAGAAAGCTCCAGCAGCCTCCTTAAAGCACACAGTCACCATGGACGACGTGTCTCTCAAGCAGAAACAGACGGACGACAAGGACTTGGACAACCTCATCTTCAACGGCGAGAAGGACGAGACATCCGCCAAGGAGAACCAGCCGCAGACCCACGACGCTGACTCTGACAGCGACGAGAAGAAATCCAACGCATCGGCAAAGGCGGGCGACCGTTCTTCGGTAAACAACGTGCTTCCCGTGGACAAGCTTAAGAACGGCGCCAACACGGCCTCTAAGTGGGTTTTGCAGTGCTGATTCCTTAACATGTTGCGGGTCGAGAGCTAACGCTCATTTATCTGTTGCAAATGCAGGGTGCTGGGCCAGACCTTCTCTATGTTTAAGGAGAAGTCGAGTGCCGCCTTGGAAGCAGCTAAGTCCTCGAACGCTGGTAAGACAATTGCGGGCGGTCTGAGCACTGCCGCCACGGCCAGCCAGGAGCAGTACGGAAAGCTTAAAGAGACAGAGGCCTTCAAGAAGTCGTCAACTCTTGCCACCGGCGCTTACGAGCGAACGTCGGTCGTCGCCTCGGGTGCCTTGGAGAAGGTATTGTGATAGTTGATTATGTCTTCTTTTCTTGAACAGGAATCTGACTTGCTTGGTTGGTTTTGGGGGGGGGGGCGTTTAGGCTCGCTCGGCGTCCACTACAGGACTGGAGATGGCCAAGCACACGGCCGCAGCGGGTATGGAGACGATCAAGTCGAAGACAGGCGGTAAGAAGGGCGAGTAAACGAACTGCGAGTTCCTTCTTCTCAATGCTTAAGCCTGACGCGATCGACGAAGCAAAGGCTGTATCCTACAAAACAGCTTGGTTCTTTTCGTTGACTCATCGCAGATCCTTCTCGTCCGGCTTGGGATCTGATTGTCTGCTTTTTATCCCACCTCAGCTACCTCATGCCTTTTAAACGTTGTCTTTGCGTACTCAACTGCAGTTAAAGAGACAACAAATACAGATAGTCCCGTTAGATTTTATGCCTCGAATCGATTAAGCGACGGTGTCCATTTAGCGCGAGCCAGTCTCAGTTATGCAAAACTGTATCCATTTCGTGGCTGCAACGTTACAGCCAATCAGAAGCGACGGAACAAAAAGATACTCGATTGCCCGAAACGACACAAAAGTGATGGGCTTCGCCGCCGAACTGGAGCGTGTTACTGAGGACTTGGCAGCGCTCTGCCGACGAAGCTTCGGACCTTGTGGAGAGGAGACGCTGCTGTTCCGCCCTCCAGATGCACCGATCGTCACAGGCGAAGGAAGCGCTGTTCTGGCGGCGTGGAAGCGCGGGCTCGATTCAAATGATCCGCTGGCGATCTTCCTGCTTACTGCTGCCAATGGCGTGCATCTGCAACTGGGAGACGCGTCTAGTGAATTTATTCTGCTGGTGGATGCGGCTGTGAAGCATGTAAGTGAGCAGCTGAGAAGAGAACAACATGTGAGCTTAATGGGTCGCGCTCGACTGTCGCGAGCTTTTGGTGAGCTGAAGTGGGACCTCCAACGCGAGATGGAGAGACCAAACATCATTTGTGGCTTAAAATTAGCCGTGCCAATTCAACTGGATGCCCAGACAATGGAGCCGTCGCATTCGGTAGGCGGACGTGGTCATAGCTATGGAGGATTGGTGCTGTGGTTCTGATTGTTGTGATGCTTATGAACAGTTTCGAGATGCCAGTGCTAATATTTTGGTTTCTGCTCTCCGTGGGCTACTTGGCGAACAAATAGTGGATTTCGTGGTCGACTTAGTGCTCAAATGGTTATTCGCTAAGTCGCCGTGCAAAAACTGCAATGCGACTGAGAGACCCGACTATAGGCTGTTTCGCCGTACACAGCAATTTTTAAAGTGCGCGTCAGATGCTATTATTTCCATGACTGCACCCTCAGTATACGCGTCGTACGTGGTTCCAAATGACGAATTTATTCTGAAGAAATCGGTGGTAGCGTCACAGCCTCCGGGAATACTCGATAGGTGTCGAGACACCACTCAGTTTGCATGCTTCACTTGCCCCCTTTCGCTGTCTGCTGGCTCTAACAACGTCGAGCTCGCAGTGACTACAGACGAAGAATTTTTCACAGCACACGATGCGGCGCATTTATTCGTCTCGAGGTTTGTACGTCGCCTTCGAGAAAGGCTTTGCGTCCAGCTAATCATCAGCGTTGAGGCTCTCGATGACAGTGTAATTGCGGCCTGCACACGCCAGGGCATTGCGTGCGTTCAACTGGCCGAGCCTAAAGATGTCGAGGCGCTTTGCATTCGCGCTGGGATCTTTCCACTCGCTAGTGTCTTCGATGATATCCGACCGACTGACCACATTGGAGTGTGCACGAACGGAGTGTCTCGAGGGAGATTCCAGCAACAAGCGTGTTTGCGACTGCGTGGATTGTCAAGGCCAGATGATCAAAGCATTGAGAAAGTTAACAGCGAACATCGTTTGGAGGAGATTGTAGTTCCTCAGCTGTTGCTCCACGCGCCTACAAAAGGAGTCTACAAACAGTATTATGCTGCAATTGTCAAGAGTCTGCGAGTGCTCAGAAGCTGGTGGGAGCCAGCTGATCACTCCGCTTCGATAGCTTACAGTTGCAGAGGTGGAGGAGCAACAGAACTAGCTGTGGCACGCTGGCTGCAAGATAGCCGCAGCACCTTCTCCAGTGACGCCCTGCGTCGTGATCCAAGTATGTTTTCGATGGCGAGAGAAATTATGGCCAACGCCCTCATCGAAGTTGTTAGCATTCTACGCAACAATTTGACTGAGACCAGTTCAAGCGGAAATGATGAGCGATCTAACCAGAGGCAGGTTCTCCTGGATGCTTTCAGTAATTTGAATCTCAAGGACCGACAGAAGTTCCCTGGATATATACTCGACTACTCGCGCGTCATCGAGACACTGGCAGGGCCAATTCAAATCCCGGAGCTTGTAGTCGGTGATCCTGCTACTTTTGGACTTGTGCATCCGTGGAGACGTATCGACACGCTCCTGTTTCTCGTCGTACAAACACTAGAGCAGCTACTCCGGATCGACAAAGTTTTTCCGATAACATCTGCACGTACAACAGAATAGACATGCATATCTACAAAAGCCTCGATAAAGACCAGCACTATTAGCAGGGCACAGGTTATAGTCGTTCTTTTGAACTGATCAGTGAGAAATACCCGGCGAAGCTATCGCCCACGTGAATCACGTTAGGAACTGTGGACGTCACCGCATTCTCAGGTGAAGTTGGGATGTGCACAATGCGCGGCACGTGTCTCTCCAGGTCACGAACGACTGCAGCGTCAACTGCACAAGCAAAACTCGTCAGTACCCACCAATTAGACGGATGATTCATGCAAATGTCGCTCACCTTCTACATGAACCAGAGGTTCAATCTGTCGCACGAACGCAATCTTGCCAATAGACGTCGCGCAGAAGAGAATCTTGTGCGCCTTGATACCTCCAGTCGTCGAGTCATTGCTCTTTAAGTCAGGATGCGTCGCTACGAACTCACGGATGCGTTGCATGCTCTGCTTGTTTGTGGCATCCGTCACCATACACAGGAGATACACGTCGCCGACACGGGACAGATCTGCCAGCAGTGTCGGCACCTCGTCGTTCGTCCATGCTAGAGCCTCGAGGTTCTCTGTCTTAAGCAGCGCGTCACCGCTGATGGTGATGGTGCGAGCACCGTTGCGCATTGGTAGTGTAAAATGCAGACGGAGCTGACGGTCAGTGAGACCTGCAGTCGAGATGGCGGCGCGTTCAGACGCTGAAGCCAACGCCGCGCCAGCAGACGGTGCCATTCGGGCCAAGTTGGTAGCGGCATTTCCACGCTGAGGCGCGTCTCCCTGTCGTAGTTGCTGTATATACACGTAGCCTGTACTGAGCATGACCACCAGAAGGATGATGAGGATACCCAGCAAGCTGTCGTCGATCATGCCGTCCACCACCTCGGGGCTTTTAGCGCTCATGGCGATCTGTCTGTCTACCTAGGTACTTCTCGGATTACGATTGAATAATGAGCCACGTGTCACAAACATCCCGCTTTAATGACATATTTAGCAATTATGCTGGTGCCATAGTTGAAATCGAGAAAAGATGAAGGAAGTGGCGGATGGTTGCTTCCAACAGCTCTTCGGCGAGATCGTGCGATCCATGGTGCGTCATTTTCTGTGTTTATGTACTGTATAGGCCCCTTTACGTGCACTAACTAGAATTGCCGCAGCTGGAACGCTACCCATGGCAGGTGGAGGGCGCCGCGGCGACTACGCCGACCGCAGAGGAGGAGGCAGCTCACCGCGAGGCCGTCATCATCAAGCTAGAGGCCATGGGCTATGACGTGGGATGCCGCTTTGCTGAGCGCTCAGCCAGAGACCGACCGCGCATGCTGGAGCCACTGGATGTGATTAAATTCGTGTGCAAGGACTTCTGGATCGCCATCTTTAAGAAACAGATCGACAAATTGCAGACCAACCACCGTGGAGTCTTCGTGGTGCAAGACTTCAGTTTCCGCTGGCTGGCGGGGATCTCGGCCGCCACAGATCAGGAGACAAGGGAGATGGCGTTGCTGTTTCTGGTGTTCCCTTGCGGATTGATCCGAGGTGCACTCGCCAATCTCGGACTCACTGCCATCGTCAATGCCGACGTCCCCGACGTCCGCGCGCTTCCTGGATGTACGTACTGCAGTCAGACTGGATCGGAGGATAAACGTGACTCACTGGTACTACGTTGTGGTGTTATTGACGAACTATGGACAGGTTTATTTAACATAAAGATTAAGCAGGGGTGACCAATTCAAGAGTGACATTGTCCAGGGTATCAAACAGCCCTGTTCAATCACACACGGTCAGTTCCCCCACTCTATCATTTTTTTTCCTTTCTTCTCTCAACTTTCTTCACCACCACCGAGCAACGGTTGCTTGCCGAAAGTCTCGATGAACTCGTCCAGCTCGTCAGAATGGCCTCCGCGAGCACGACCTCTTGGTAATTGATCAGGACGGTAAAAGTCGATGATCAGCACCAGACGCGTCTCGTCAGGGTGGCTATTGAACGCGTAGTGCAGTTTGCTGTCGTCGAACACGATGAACTCACGCTCAGCATGGTACGTGGTCTCCCCACCCACCACCATAGCGCAACACGGATCTCCGTTGGGTAGACTAGGCACCACAAGAGGAAAGTGGACACGGAGAACGTGATTGGCCAGATCTGCCCAGCCTCGATGTGCAGTCAGCGTCGTGTTGGGGCCAAGCTTGGAGAACAACGCAGTCCGAATGTTCGGCAGATTCTTGAGGATTTCTGCCGTTCGTGGACACATGGAGCACGTGGGAGACACCCACGTCGTCTTTGAGGCGTCGTACGCTGGGAACGTGTAGCAAAACGGGAACACACGCCACTCACTGTCGCCTTCCGTGTAGTGTTTCTCCGGCCAGAACGGCCACGTTGCCATTTGTTGCACAGCCTGCATCTCCTCCAGAATGACGTTGTAGTGGTCCTTTAATATGTCTAGTTGAGGGAATAACTCTTGATACGGGTAGTAGCTGGGTGCATCGTCATCTTGAATTTCTTCATCCGACGAATAGTCCACACCGTCGCCAACCCAATTGGTCATGTGTCGGATATCTTCTTCTTCGTCCGTACTGCATTCATCAGTCTTACGCAGACACAGCAAGCGGTAGCCCATCTGGTCACGACGTAGCAGTTCGTATAGTGGCGAGTGCTCGACGAAGAAAAAAGTCTCGAGTTCTGAATGGAATTCCTGAGGTGTGAACTGATGGATTAGCTCCCGAGTAGTACCAGAGCTGAGCTTAGCGCCCATGGCTGCTTCGTACGACACCAATTGTTCTTGTTCGATTTCAAATAACGGAGTCTTGTTCTGTGCCGATGAAATGGGGGACAGCAGCGAATGTTCCAAGTGATCCGCAGTCACGTCAGGCGGGATAAAATCAGCAACGAACAGAAGGCCTCCAGGTTTGAGAACGCGGGCGATCTCATTGACTGCTTTGCCGAGATTCTGCACCTCTTGCAAGCTCTGCACGCCTACGGCCACGTCCACCGAGTGAGTCAGCAGTCCTTTCATCCTCTCGCACGAGTGATGATACAGCCGCAGTTTTTTCTCCTGGAACTCGGGCATTTGTTCCGTGAACTGGTCCCACGCCTCCTTGCTGCGTTCCAGAGCCTGAATAGAGATGTCCAGCCCCACGATTTCAGCGTTGGGGTATAGTGTTTGTAGTTGACACAGACCACCGCCGGCGCCGCAGCCCACGTCCAGGATCGTAAAGATCTCGTTGCGTCGCGCCTCATGTTGCGCGTCGACGTCCATTAGATTGTCGTAGAGCTGCAACTGGAGCCTGTCGGCAGGGTATTGAGCCTGGAATTTGCTGACAGGTGCTTCTCCGCTCACATTTCCACTAGCGACGGCAGCGGCAGCAGCGGCGCTTGATGTAACATGAGTGTGTCCCCGAGGGTGGAATCCCACGTTACAGCACACACGGTGGTGCTCCGCGTAGATGGGCGAGTGGAAGATACCGTCGTAGAATTCGCGCACGCTGGGGCAGCGAGCCTCGCTTCCAGCCACGCGTTCACCAGGCGCCATACTTCAGCGTCTTGTCGACAAATGACGGCTTCAAGCTGCGGTCAATGCGTAAAAGAGCATGTCTATGTGACTTATGATAATTACCAAAAGCAAAAATACAAAATACATGTAAAATGTTTCTGTGTACCGGTAGTGTCTTTCGGCATTTGCTTAGCGCACTAAAGCCCTAAAACGTACATGTAGTAGAACACTACGGAACAATACACTTAATCCGATGCATGCATATCATTAGACGATGCGCTAGCTGCCAATCTACAGTGTTAGCTGTTTAGTGTCCATATCAATTATTGCTTGCTCGTCCGTCGTCCGGTTAAAGGGACGAATGTGAGATGCCAAGCCCCAGCAGTATTCAACAGTACCTGGTATTGACACTGATAGCCGATTCTGATGCCTATCCTACGCCGGAGAATGCGGCTTGCGGCTGTGTACCTATCCGACGTACTACGGACATAGTTTACTATGTGATCTGCTATCGCTAACCAAGAGCGGTCATGCGTGGTGAGGCTTGCTCTCCCTGTCACACAGCTCACTTTGTGGTTCGGTAAACCGAAGAGAAGAGCAGGCACTTCACCGGCACGCAGCCCTTCGTGACATTTTGCCCGGTGATACGCTCTTGGCTGGAAGTGGGGCTGAATCGGACCGCAAACCTTGCTTGAGAAGGACTGTCAGGCTTCAGGTAAATGTGAGAATGAATTGAAAATTAACTTTGCATCCGTGCGCTAGCCTGCTTCGTAATAAAGCTGTCCTGGTGCAATCTGTGGTTCCTGTTATTCAGGTTCAATCTATGGCTGGCGCGCTCACGCAATCCAGTTTCATTCGCGGAAGTGATTGGTAGCAGTCGGACTGCTACCAATCAGGGATCGGAAAAAAATAACTTTTTGGGCAATAATACGTACAATAGTGGGGACAATATTTATTATTGGAGCAAATGGCAAAAAAAAATACAAAAATTGTGCAATAATACCCAATACAATACCTTAAAAGACTAAGTAAGAAGATATAGAGAAACAAAGTCAAAGAGCTGGTGTCTACGTGGGCCAACTATTGTGTATTCTCGCTCTTTCCGACTGCGACTTCGTTTTCAAACCCTTTTCAATATCACTTCGCTATTTACTAGCATTTCCACAACCAGCAACTTTCCCTTTTGCAACCCTCCAGCATCACTATGCCCACAAGTGCTGTGCTTTCTTCTTCGAAGCGGGAGCCGACTATCGCTACACGTGCAAGATCTGTAACGGAGCTCGCAAGCAGGCCCTACTCCAACCTGCTTGGCACCAGACACCCCGGTTACTTTACTGAGATGGCTACATCTCGCCGTGCGGAGAACGGAACGATGGAGTCCTTTGGCTTCGTCTCAGAGGCGGTGGACCATTTGTACAGATGGCTACGCTGGTTTGTGGTGCGTAACTTGCCTCTCTGCGAGGTGGATGACCTGCTCACGCGTGAGATGCCGCGCCTGCGATCTACAAGTTCGAAGACACTGAAGGACCCGATGCATCTTGCTGCCGCCAAAGTCGGCTTGATACTCGAGGAGGGGATGGGCGATGCATTTGACATCATTTTCGACGGGTGGACGCATGGCCCTACGCATTTTGTCGCATTGTTCTGCGTCTACACACACGGTGGCACATTCCGTCGCCGATTGCCATCGATTTCGCCAGTCGTTGAGGAGACGCATATGCCCAATATTGTATTGCAAAGTTATTATTATTGTTTCCTGTTGTATTGCAGTCGCTATTACGCAGGTGATCGTTCTTCCGTAAAATAAAACATTTTAATTTCCGATCCCTCAGTCCATGCACCAAGTCGTGTCATGTCCCCCCCCATTAAGTGGGGCTAGTCTAGCACGGAAATAGGCGACCGGAATTGTTTGGGGGCCTGAACCATGACTTGATCACCCGGCTTGTAGTTATGCGCGAGGAGCTTGGTATTTTCGCGATCATTGGTGGCTAGGTTTGCGTTGAATCTGCCCTCTGACAGATGGCTCCAATTTACTTAGTATAGCTGACGTGAGAACATATCTAGCCCGAAAATTAGTTGGCCTGGAGAAGCATTCAAGGTGCTGTGGTATCTGGCTCGGACAGCGAAAGCGGCGCAATAGATGACCTTTTCCAGTCGGCTCCTTCGTGACAGCGGACAGCGCTGAGAATTTTGAGGTGGACTCGCTCGCAGGATGCGTTGGTCTGTGGCTTGGATGTGATCAGTTTGGTCTTGATACCGTAGCTGCGCAGCAGCTCCTGAAAATAAATTCGGTAAACTCGTCATCTTGGTCGTGAGTTACTTTGCGCGATTTGGGATAATGGCACAGCCACTCGTGATCAAAACTTTTAGCTGTCGTAAGAGTTCCTTTGCAAGGCTGAACAACAACTTCAAACCAGCGAGTAGCTTGGTCAATCAGGGTGATATCTAGCAGCTCTCGTCGTATGGACCGACGACGACATCAAAAGAGCTGACGCATTCCATCGCCCGAGGTATAAAAACCATAATGACAAAGTCCAGATCACCATAGCTCCTCTTCGTGCATGCCTGGTACTCATCTGGCGCTGTGGATATTAACATCGGGATTGTTTGTACTTAAACTTACCCCTCTGTAGGCAGCATGCGGTGATGTGTAAGATTTTTGAGGCCAATCGACGTACGTAATATCCTAGGTAAGTGTCGAATGTCGAAATACACTTGGCCTTTGCAAGCTTCATGAGTATTTCATGGATGAAAGACATATTACGTAGATACTTACTCAGCCAGCAATAGTCGATTAGCAAACACAGTGATCCGTCACTCTTGACCAGGAAGAACGCGGTCGACAGCATCTCCGAGTCATTAAATCAGCTCGAGCACGTCGGTGTTAATGATTTTCTGAATTACGTTATTGGTTTTCCCTTTCAAGCTTTGAGCTACGCTGTACGGCTTTGCTTGCACTGGTTTGTAATCCGGAGTAGTTGGAATGACGCAGTTATCAAAGCGCATGTGACCGTCATAGAGACGATGATGCTTCACGACCAGCTGCAAGTATCGATGCGCGAGAACTTTATCCAGGTGATCAGGCAGCTGCTCTTCAGGATTGACGGTGCTGTCCAAAAACCCACCGAAGAACTCGTCGTCTTGCGGCTCGTTCAGGTCGTTTGCATCGCAATTCACGTCGGTCCGACCGGTGTTGAGGCGGTAGCTGTGCTCGTCCCATTGCGCGATCTTGTCCTTAGAGCTCAAGATCAAGCCCAGAGCGCTCACGACGTCATGGTCAATCACCATGGCATCTCTACTGTCCTCAATCGCTTCAAATCGATGCGTAATAACCGAGTTTGCACTGAGCGCGGAAAAGTTAACTGTGTCGTTGATGTACCGCTTCTCGGGACAGATTCATTCAAGGTGTCAAATACAGTGGGCGAGGCTAGGATCAGCTTGCTTCCCAGCTAGCGTTGACTATGAGTGTCGCTCTCATGGGTGATGCGTTTAGAAGCGCCGCTATCAAGTAGAGCGTTCAGAGTCTTCCCGCGGTGTCGAAATTTTACGGAAATGCGCAGGGGGGGAGGCATCTCTGGGTGGCTGCGCTTTCCGCTCTACCAGGCCGACGAATTCAATCTCCTCTCTATTACTTGACGAACTAAAGTTGGAGTCTGAGACATGGATGAGGGGGTAGCGCTTCGTTTGCTTCTGGTTGCGCGCTTGTTTCACGCTCCCACTCTTCTGTTCTTCCCCTCATTCTTCTTGGTACATGTATTGCAGCTGTCGCTGGTGCTGTGTGGGCTTGTTTTGTGGAATAAAAACTACATGTCGCTCTTGGGTTTACGGTACACACCATGACCGCCTATGTTGCGTGCTGTCGTCTGGATTTTCGACGAGTGGTGACCTCCCTGGTTTTGATTCTCGCGGAACTGGTTCTTGCCTCATCCGTTGCTAAATGTGCCTTGCTTTGGTATTGTGCGTAGACATTTGCTGCTCAGCCTTTGCGGGAGAGATAGAGCACAAGCTCGTTGAAGTGATTGTGCATCACACCAGAAAAAGCGGCTAACTTGTCTTGCTAGCCCTGTGGCACACCTCGTTCCAGGAAATGACACTGCTATATCTCTAAAAGCACTTCAGCGTCTTCTGGATGCTCGTCGAGCATATGGACGCTGTCTTTTAGGCGATTGGAAACTTTTGCACGCTTTCGTCGCGGCGCTTCTTCTTTGTCCAGAGCTCGTTATCTAAGTCCTCACTGAAGTTCAGAGGGTCCAACAGCAGTCCCACATCGATAAATAACTCCTAGAAGCTCTTACACGCGTCGACGACGTTTTGTGTGGTCCATTTCACCTCGACCTCAAGATCTCCTTCGAAGAGCACAGCGAGGTTGTTAGCATTCTGCTCGTCCGTCCATTGCTTCTTTCGTGCAAGGCTTCAGGATTGACTGATCCATTTGAGCCAGTCACGCGGAATTTCACCGCAAACATCTTTACGGTTGCTGACTTCTCTGCGGTTGTCGCTGTGGTACCACCGAGTATGTCACGAATGTGTGACGTCCTTGGTATCCTTAAGAAATGTTGTTTCTTGATCTCTTCTGAGTCTGATTTCAGGTTTAATTTATCAAAATGACACGCCCTTGTCACGCAGTGGGGCTGAATCGGACCGCAAACCTTGCTTGAGAGGGATTGTGGGGCTTCAGGTAAATGTGAGAATGAATTGTATTGAAGGGTACCGGTTTCAGGCGGTAAGTACCCATAAACCGGTAATCAAACCGGTCCAACACGATCCCGTGATAATTACGATACGTTGATTAGACGAGTAGGATGATTGGACGAGTGCAGAATGTTGGTGATTAAATGCACCAATTGATTGGATGACCTAGGTAGTGAGGACTGTGTAAGCTCCGATAAATCAATCACTTCGGAATCTTCCTTCTTCCCCTCAAGTGTCTTCGCTCCGGTCTACTCCCCGAGTGGTGACTCTTCCCTTCGCTCCGCACAAGTACAACGTTGCCTAAAACCCGTGACCTCTATCAGGCTATGAGCCCAAGTAGCATGTCC